AATATGAATGTCTTCTTCAACAAGAAAGAAATCAAAAAGATAATCACTCAAATTATCTTCTTCTTCTGCTTCATCTATTTCATATTTCATTGCATATTTATCAACAATTTGATTAAATTGATAACAACTAGGTGAAATTCCCATTTCTCCATGTTCTGGAATTAATAAACAAGGTGTTTTTATTGGATTAATTTCCTCGTCACATTCGATGGTTGGTGCTTCTTGTAATTTGGATTCATCTTTTTCAATTGTTTCAAAATAAACAACTCTAAACTTTTCTTGTTTTGTTATGTCTTCACAATTAATTCCATACTCTTCTGAATCATCTATTAAAATATAAAATTGTAAAATTCCTTTTGTTGGATAATTTTCTAATGCTTCAAATTCTTCAAAATTGATTTGCATAATAAAAGACAATGGACTCCCAGTAGTTAAGTCTTTTGGATATTCAAATCCTTTTGGTAAATAAGGTGTTCCACCTAATTTGCAATTGTATCTACTCGCTGGTTTATCACTACATTGAAATCTAACTATTTTCTTTATTGTTGATGACATTATTTCTTTTGCAATTTTCTCAAATTTCTCATTGGATGTCATTGAATTGATTATTGATAATTTATGAGATGAAACTCTTGATCTTTTTATTCATTTATTTCTATTTTAGATCTTATTCCTCAATTTTCTCTTTTTTTAGATAAATTAAAAAGTTCCTTTTTAGATGAATTTTCATTTGAATATATTCTATAAATAAACATTACAATATTCATACATTGTATTGAAACATGAACATAATCACTTCTCATTATAATCAAACACAAATAAGTGAATTGTTTACTGACAAATTGACTTCATCTCATTTCTTATTACTTTCATATTCTTTTAATATTCAATTTTATTATTGTATTTTCATTTGAAATATTGAGGAATATCAAGAATTTAAAATAAACAAAGAAATCACTACAATAAGATGACATCAAATCAAAATGAAAACAAAGTAAAAGAAAATGAACAAGAGATAATTAGGAAAGGGTGTGAAGATAAAAGAAAAGACCAAGAAGAAAGGAAAACAAAAGAAATAAAGAATGATATTATTAAAATCAAAGAAGAACATAAACCAAATAAAACACATAAAATAATTCAACAAATAGAAGAATGGACAGAGAAAAGCATAAGAAATATTATATTTAATTCAAATAAAGATGATTGAAATAAGAATACATCACTATTTAAAAAATAATAAATAAAGAAGATTTAATATTCACTATTGAAGATGAAGATGGAAACATATCTTGAGGATATGTTAATGTGAAAATTGATACAGAAGATGAAACTATGTTAAAGACTCGAATACATTTTTATTTTTAACAGAAACAAAAAATAAAAGAATGGTGAAAATTGATATTGGGACTTATCAAGAAACATTTATTATGATAGTCAATACTATAACTGTTCATTGTTTGAATTTGGATGGAAGAGATACTTGTACTTGTAAAGAATACTATAAAACAGTATTAATTGTTTTCAATAGTCATTTTCATATAAAGGGATATCAAATACACTTCGTGAAAGTGTTATTTCATACAACAACAAATTATTATAATTGAATTGAATTTTGTTGAATATGTTTTATTTGTATTTTTGATAAGATAATCAATAAAAAAAGAATAAATGGTAATGTTAAATGATTGTAAATTTAATATTGTTATATTTAATATTGTTTATTTTCTAATATATTACAGTGTATTCGTATAAAATATTAAGTATGTTATGTTTTATTAATAAATATTTATATTATTTAAATATATTTGTATTTTCAATCAATTATAGTGTTTATAATGTTTGATTATTATTCTATTATTATATATTTCATATTAAGTATATTTGTTGTATAATAATGTCATTATGTATCATAATATATATTATATTTTGAATATACATATTTTATATTCTTGAATAAAATATCTACTTCCAATTATATCTATTCTGTATGTTACATCTAGTTATTAAAACAAATAAAATCCCTGTTTATTCAACCAATAATTGAAATTATCTCTCATTATCTTTTTATTATTCATTTTCATTGTGATGAAAATGAGGATTATTTAACAAATAAAAACAAAACATTGTTGTGAATTAATGATATTATTATTTGTTCTATTTATTACTTACTTTAACTATTAGATATTCCTTAATAGAGTATAATGAAGATTTTTCAAGAATGAAAAGAAAATAAAAGAAAGAATAAATGAAATAATTTTAAAGATAAATAATAAATATTTAAATTAATTTTTGTTTATTTATCTTTTATTAATATCAATTAATTAAAAAAAAAGAATAATTAATTTAATTTTAATCTTCTTTATTAAATTTATAATAATTGTTTAATCAATTGAATATTTGTTTTAATATCGTACTTTCTTTTTATAATTTTGTTTTCCTTTCTTTTTATCAAATTTTTTCCATTCACTTTGTTGTCCTTGTAATTCATTAAGAATCTTTCCATATGCTTTCTTTTGTTTTTGTCTTTCAATTTCTTCTTCATATCGTTTCATATCACTTATATTTTGTGTAATTCCTTCTTCAATTTTAGATGCTTTTCTTGCTTCTTCTTTAATCTTCTTCTTTACTTCTCTTACTTCTTTTTGTAAATCTTTTTCATATATTCTTGGATTAAACATTTTAATCATTCCAACATTTTTCTTTTCAATTAATGTAAGATTAAATTTTATTTTTTCTTCTTCTTTATTCCATTCTTCTACTATTCTTTCACATTCTTCATCCCCTTTCATATTTTCAATTATTTCTTTTAATCCCATTCTACTATTAATTTCTTTTCGATTCATTCTTATCATTTTCTCTACTATTTCAATGATTATATTTTTAACATATCCTTTTATTTCTTCTCCTTCTAATTTAATTGCTTCTTCTACTTTTATCCCTTTCTTTCTTTTACTATCTTTTACTATTTTAAATCCTTTTCTTATCCATCCAATTAATTCTGGTATATATCTTCTTTCACTTAGTTCACTTCCAATAATTGCTCCAATACTTTGAAGTACAAATCTTTCTTTTTCAACTTTAACTCCATAAAAAAGTCCTCCTAAATATTCCATAATTTTCATTGTAATCATACTTCCTAAATCTGTAGTAGACCATACTTTACTAATTACTCCTAATTTCTTTAGTGTTCTTAAATCTTCTTTCCATTCAATTCCTTCAATTATAACTTCAACAATCATTGTTCTCATTTCTATTCTTTTTCTATATATTTCTCCTATAAAACTCTGAAGTGCTTGTGTTGTTTTTAATACTCCTATTTCTTCAACACAATTTAAAATATTAACTGCTTCTTCTGCTAATTCTTCTTCTTTATCTCCTTCATTTTTATAATCTATTCTGTCAATATCTTCTTCTTTATTTCTTTTAATTATTTCTTCTTTATTTTTTATTTTTTCAATTCCTTCTCCATTTTTATATTTCTCTACAATTCCTCCTTCTCCTAATTTATTAATTCTATTTTCTATATTATTCATTTCTTCTTTAATTCTTTTCTTTCTTGCTTCATGAATGTCTTCTTCTATATCTTCTCCAATTGCTCTTGTTTTTTCTTTTTCCATTTTGTTAAGTAATTCAACATATTCATCTCCAAAATTATCATCTCCACTTTGTCTTAATGTAACATGTCCTATAATTTCTTCAATATTATCATTTAAAAATTCTAATCTCTCTTCTTGTTCTTGTCTTTCAATTGCTTTCTCTGCTTTTCTTTTCTTTGACTTTTCAATAATTTCTGCATATCTTCCTTTCTTTGTCATATCTGTCTTTTCTTCTTCTTCTTCTTCTTCCTCTTCAATCACTCCAATAGGAACATCTGTATATCCCATTTTACTTTTTGATAATGCAACTCCTTCATGTGTAAATTCTTCTTCTTCTTCTGACTCTTCATTAATATTATATCGGTCTTTCTTTTGTTTAATTCGTTGTTCAAACCATTTCTTTGCACGCCCTTCTTCTGCTCCAACTTGTTTCTTTTGTTTTCTTTTGTCATTGAAGACACTTTGTGTTCTCTTCATTTGTTCTTCTTTTCTTCATTTTCCATTTTAAAACCCTATTTCTTGTGTTATACATAACATTATATTATTTATTTAGATTTCTGTTTTATAAAAACTCTGAAATATAACAAGTTCCTTCTGATTAATCAGTAATATTCTTTGTTACTGGAAAGAGCATAGTTTATGATATTACATAAAAGACAATTCGTTGTGTACACTGTTTTCGTTATTCAAAAACGATTTAGTCCTGATAGAATTATAAACAATTAATTTCAAATACTCTTTGAATGTTGTTAAACCATTTTCATTTAATCATTCTCTTGTCAGACCAACAATACATTCTTTCTGGGTTCAAAGAACAAAGTGTGTTTTTCAAAATAGTATTCTTTATTATTTACATCCAACAATTTAGTTCAATTCACCAATAAATACAGTAGTTAAATTGTTCAAATGAAAGAATATAATAAGTATGAATTTGTTAATAAAAGTCTTGTTGAGAAATGTAAGAATCAGAGAAATAGAATTCATTAAGAATAATAGAAGAATGAATAAGATTAGAAATAAGGGATGAGAAGGAATAAAAGAAATAATAAGAATGATTTATAATAAATAAAACTAGAAGAAGGATGAAGGTAATAAGAAAATAATATATAAAATGTACATGAAGAAAACAAAGAGAATGAAAAAAAAAAAAAGAAAGAAGATGATATATCATAAACACAAAATAAAATTGATGGAATAAAGTAGTTAAATGGAATAACACTTAAAAACAATAAATAGAAGAATTTATTTTTATTTTTATTAAAATTAAATGAAGAATAAGAATTACTATTTATAATAAGAAATGGTGTTGTATAAAAATATACTCTGATTATTTACAGAAAAGATTAAAGAAATATTTTTATTTGTAAAAATATAAAATAATAATATAAAAATATTCAATAAAATGATTAAATGTAATTTATTTCAAAGAGTGTTATATTATTTCTTAATAAATTGTATTAATAAAGAGATTTAATTTACTTTATTTATGTTTTATTCAAAATGAAAATAAAAATAATAAAATATTCAAACTTTAACTGTATTTGCTTTAAATTATTAATTAAATTTAATAATTTAATATATGAAATGAATAGTATTAATAAAGGAATGATGATGAATAATACTAATGAGAGTATTTAGTTATAAGAATATTAAATTATTTAATTATTATCAAAAATAATAATAAATAAAATAACATTAATGATATAATACGATTTCATTCATTATTTCTAATTTGATAATGTTTTATAGTATTTTATCAATATTTTCATTAATTTCATTATTATTTATTCTTATATCTTTCTTTTGTTTATTCTTTTTATTTACTATAATAAATTTCAGTTATTAATGTTGTTATCTGATTAACATTCATTATTAAATATAATTGATTTATTTTAGTTGTTAATAATCAAAATAAATGAAAGATAATAGAAATACTTAATATGTTTAATAAGATATAAACATAAAATGAATGTTTCATTATTTAACCATTAATAAATCGAATTAAATAATATTTCAGTATCAAATTAATTAACAGTGAAGTAAAAGAATAATAAAAGAATATTATAGTTTGATATTTATAAGGATTGTTTATAGTTCATTCTCAATAAAGAATTGTATTTGATTTATTTAAATATAAAATTGAAATGATAAAGAAATTGATAATTATATTGAATAGATTCTATCAAATGAGTATAGAGTATTAAATTTATTTTTATAATATTAGAATGAATAAAGAAATCCAACACTAAACAGAGATATTAAATAGAAATAATATTGAATATGAAATATATGATAATATCAATAAAGAATAACATATCAACTAATTTCAATAAAATTAATGTATGTTATATAATAGTATAAATGAAATAATAAATGAATGAAAATCAAGAAAAGACAATACAAAAATAAAATCTAATTTCAGTAGAAAGTGTTTATTAACAAAAGAAACAAATGAAATAATAAAAAGAAAATAAATTTTGAAATTGAAAGAATTAATTGTGTTATTTATTCTTTTGATTTATTCTTATTGTTTTTATAAAAGTAAATTTCAAAAGAGAGTGATTCAGAAGAGATTAAATTCTTTTCTTAAAATAATAATTTGAATTATGAATTGAAATTTATTATTTATTTCATAATATTATTTTGTTTATTATTATTGTCATGATTTATTTTAATATTTAATATTCATTTAATTATTAAATTACAAAATATAACATACAATAAAATTATGAAATAAAATAAACAATGAAATGACTAAATCATTATAAATGAAAATAAATATAAACAATAATAATATAAAGAAATGAATATAATTAAAGAGAACAATTGAAATATAAACAATCTATGATTACATTTATATTAATTATTGTAATTACAAATAGAAAATATTAACAATAAATAATAAAGAATAAAAAAGTGATATACACAAACATAATCAAATAAACATAAAAGAATATAGAAAGGATATAATAGACATTTAAAAGATGAACTATACCTAAAGTAATTGAAGGAATAATAAACCATCAGGTCAAGAACAAGTAGAATGACAAAATATACAAACAAAAGTGGATACATACCCAATAAACTCAGTTCGTCCAGTAGAAATAAAAAACAGGATCAATAGAAGTACAGATATAGTAACATCATCTTAGAAAGGACAAATAGAGTAGAACATCAAAAATATCAATAAATATTCAATGATCAAGTAGAATTCAACCAAGTGCAAAGGATAATCAAAAATTAATAGAAAGAACTCATTCTGTTACCTGAAATTATTCAGCAATTCCAATACAAACATGTAAATAATGAGATACATCAAGTAGAACAAGTTCAGAAGAAAATAAAGAACAATAAAGTAATTTAAAACCACCAGATTGGAAAGGAAGTACTGGATAAAAATGATACAAAATGAACAAACGACACAGAAGAAGATAAAATAGTAAAAAGGAGAATCTACATAACATTTTAGACAAAATGGACAAGAAATAAGATATGAACAATCTGGACAAGAAAGTATTGGATAATGAAATAATCAACAACAAACAAATTGAGAAGAAACGACATGGAGGAAGATAGAAAAATGTAGTAAAAGTGAAAGAGATAAGTCTAGGTTGAATAGGAAAAGAAACTAGAAAAAATTAAAAGATAATCAAATTGTTCAAGAGAGTACATAAACAAATAGATAAAGTGGAAATACAATAGGGTGATCAAAAGATTCAAAAGACAAAACAGAAATAACAAAAAGACAGATAGAGAAATATTTCAGATCAAAAACCACAGTATTCTATAAAAAACAAATAATACTAGAAATACTAATTCTAAAAATAAAACAAATAATAAAACAAATAATAAAGATGATAAACATAACAATCTTGATAATATTTCAATTATTTTTCATTATTATCTTCTATCATTTTATTTATTATTTCAATTGTTTTTAATTATTAGTAATGAGAATTAAAAGGATATTTAATATGATTTAATTCAAATATAAATAAATTAAGTATTATACTGTTTTATTTATTATGAAATGTATGAAATGATGGTCAATTGATAAATGAGTAAAAATGAAACAAAAATAACAATAAACAAAGAAGATAAATAATGTATTAATAATGATAATTATTATTATTTTATAAATGAAAAATAAATGACATTTAAATCATATTCAAAATATTAATTATGTAATTAAATATAAATGAATACATTTAATAAAATGTAAATAAATTTAATATATTTTTATAATATGATTATTATTTATTGTGTCTATATTAACTATGAATATTATAATAAAAAGAAATGAATGTTGAATATAAAAATAATTATAATAAAATAATTTGTGAAACATGTTATTGTAATTTTAATAATGAAAGAAATAATATCGAAGTCATAATAGTGAAAGTTATAATCATCATTAATTAAATAAACTTAATATAAAATAGACATATTCTTATACAGAATTAAAATAATAAAATAATAAAAAGAAATAAAATAATAAAGTACGAATGAAGATATTGAATACTAAATAATGTTAATATTAATGTATAATAATGATTTAATGATTTAGAAATTGAAGTTAAAATATCTTAATTGAATATTGATGATTTCATCTTAAATTATTTCATTTAAATGAATATTCAGCATAGCTACAAGAAAGAAGAATGAAATATATAATAATATAATATACAGAATATGATAGAGATAATTATGGAAATATCGATTTTATTTCAATCATTTATTATTATTTTTATTTTAATCATTCAATAAATAAATATAAATATTTATTATAATAATCAAATCATCATTTTTATTCATTTAGAATTAAATTCAAATCAGAATAAAGAGAATATAATAAGATTAACAGATAATAAACCAGTGGTTAAATAATATACTCTTTATTGAATAAGAATAGATAAATAAAAATATAAATTATCATCAATAATATAGAATAATATGAATATAAAAATAATAGAATAAATAACTAATTTATCAAATAAATAATTAATTATCTTATTATTTCATGTTATTTGTTTATTATTACTTTATTTATTTATTTTCAATTTATTTAATTCTTATATTGATTATTTTCATTGATTATTTCTTATTCTTTATATTTCTTATATTTATTTATATTTTAGATATCTTTTATATTTCATTTAGTATTAGTTTATTGTGTTATGTTTTAAATAATTATTCAAAGTGATTTTGATATTGTATTTTATTTTATGAATCATTAATATTATTAGAATTTATGATGAAATATTATTTAATTTAAATTGATTTCTAAATTATTTTAAATATAAAACACTCATAATATTGTAATATTATCATTTCAAATATCATTATTATAATTAATATCAGTGTTTATTTTATTTAAATTAATTAATAAAAAGATTAAAATATAAGAAATATTTATGATATAATCATAAATAATTATAAAAGAATATATAATTGTATCAACATATTAATACAATAAAATATTAAATAAAATTAAAACCATTTGTTGATACACAAATAGAAAATATATTACATACCTAAACAAATAAATAGTAATCAATTCATTATTCAATTAGATTGATTTTACAGAAATTTATTGAATCAAGAATATTTTAGATTTTAATTATAATAAATTATGAATAATAAATGGATTTGTTTTAGTTAATGATGATTTGATATTTGAATATAAAGTGATATAGATGTTATAATAAATTATTTATTATTTAAATCATAACTATTCAAATATAATTTATTATAATAAGATTATTCATTAAATCAGAGTTTATAAGAATAAGAAATATGAATTGAATCTGATATTATTAACAAGTTTATCCAATTATAATACTTTTAGTTGTTTAAATTGAAAATAGAACACAAGAATAGAATATCTTTAGAGAAGTGATGAGTTTTGTATCTTTTAACATTTCATCAACAAATGAATGAATGATATGCAATGATAACATAAATACAAAAATACAAATGAAAGAAAAAGGGGAAACAAAATTCAACTCAAATAAAAATTAATAAATATACAATAGAGAAAGAGATGAATATAGAACAATATGATATATTTAAATAGAAGAACTAATTAGAACTATTCAATGATTACATTTTTATTATTTATTGTAATTATTAATTCATTAGAAACTATTCAATAATGAACAATGAGTTAAAGATGATAATAAACATAAAGATAATATGTTTGTTTCAACAATAAATAAACAACATAAATATAATAACAAATATAAAGATGATTAAATCACATTAAATCAATCATATAATTGTTTGATTATTAACATTCAGAATATTTATAATGTACATTTGAAATATGAAACAATACCAGTAGAACCAACACCATCAATATCATTAATAAATTCACCATCTGTATCACAATGAAATATAGCATATTAAGAAATCAATCATTAATAGATTCAATGTATCAATCAGGTATATCAATATCAACAAGAGATTCACAATAACAATGACAATATTTACAAACACTATCACAAGAAAAAGAACAATCAACAATATCAATTACACAAACAACAGGTAAATCAACTTCAACAATAGTAATACTATCAATAACAACAATCTCATCAATTCATTATCACAAGGAAACCAAGATTCATCACTAACAACAACACTAAAAGATGAATATCATCAGAAAAACAAACCACAAATTAGAAAATAATAAACAATAACAATACAAACAACTAAAACAAGAAGAAATACAAGAATAATAACAATAAATTTCATCACAATAAAAACAAGAAAACAAGATAATAAAAATATAGATAATTCTGATAAATCATAGAATAAAATTAATGATAAATCAGAAGATAATTCTGATAAACATATTAATATTGATAGTAC